AATTTATTTGTTTTACTCTATTCAGTGGACTAGATTTTTACACTCTCTGCATAGTCTGTTTTTTTTTGCTGCCAAATAGCAGTGCTTGTTCTGTTGCTCTGTTTTGTTCAGAAGGGTATATATATGTAGCAGGTACAAGTACCGGCTGTGAGACATTCCAACTTATTTATCAAAGGCGACAGTGCATATTATTTTACCTTCTTTGTTTGAAATTGGCTTTGGATATCCAAGGTGAAACTAGATATGACAGTATCTACTATCACTACCTTGACAGTAGCCACTCGACATCACACTTGACTTTGAAGTCCACCGACTGTAAGTTTGTTTATCAATACAATTTAATAAAAAAAATTAATACTACATATTCAACGCTGTTTATATAGTTACATAAAAAACTTCATCCCCTATTTCACTATCTTTAGTTCTCCAACCTAATATAGGACCATCTCTGACTTATTTTACCAAAAAATACATACAATTATTATATTAATGATTATACAGCATTATATGTATACAGTTGACAAAATTATTATGTAACAGTCATACAAAAAAATATACAGTTGAATTGTAAATCACCTTCTTTTTAAGTAGGCAAAAAACCCACAATGATTAGGTATATCGATAGAAAAAGCAGAAGCGTATGGTAATAAAATCAATTATTCAAATTTGACAAGAAGGAAGTATAAAAGGGCAATTGAAAACTATGAGGGAGTTGGTAAAGAAAAGATAGCATTAAAAGTACAATATGCTACCAATTAATAAGAATGAAAAATAAACTCAAGAATGAGAAGAAACCTGTTCCCAGCAATAGAACTTGTACCAACTATAGAACTGTATGTATTAAAACAGCATAAACATAACAATGAATTTTATTTTTTATAAGAGATTACGCAAACGAGCATGCGGCTCACCTGATGGTAAGTGACTACCGCCGCCCATGAGCAACCGCAACACCAGGGTAAATGTAGGTGCGTTGCCGGCTTTTTAGAAAGAAGTAAGCAGAAAAGAGAACACAGTTTCGTTAAAGATGCACATCAATACATCACCACAAAGGTCACCGTAGAAGAAAGCAGAAAACGATAATAAATTTGCAAACTCTAATAATAGTGATAGGTAAGCTCACCAACATTTCTATCTACCCAACATGGTGAGCATAGCTATTACTATCATGTAATGCGCCAGAGGGTGCTTGGTTCTAAGGTTCTGTTTTTTGGCAATTAAATGAAAAAAAATTTTCGAGGACACCTAGGATTATTCCGTGAATCGAGGAGACGTTGAAAATACACTAATTTCATGTAAAGAAACAATTAATTGCCAGCCATAGAAACACTTCTTTGTCCGAGCGATATTTGAACTTGCTGTACTATCGTTGTACGTCCGTATCGTAACGTAACGTGTAACGTCCGTACGGTGCCGCAATCAAACGCTTTCGAGATGTCATTTTACTAATTAATCTTCCTTTAGCAGTATCTGTGAAGATAACGATTATAAGATAGACATAAATCCTTGCACGACAACAAACAACATTGCAATTAAGATAAAGTTTCGAGGTGTTTGACCAAACTGGGCGCAAAAAAACTTTGAAACAAGATGTGAACTTACAATATGATCAATTAAGTAATAAGCTCACTTGATACTTATAAAGGTTAAATATGGATTTAGTTTTAACCGTAGGAACTGTAGAATTAGCATAGGAAACGTATGGAACTCGTATTTCCGGCAACCGCTTGGAGTAACTATTTCATAAAGTTGAACTTTTCTGTTCCTTACTTACGCAGCTTTATGACATTCACGCGCCAATGCATTACGTAAAACTCAAACATTTACCTGCTCCATGGCTTTCTGATGATCTGAAAAAACTTATCTTGTAGAAAAATGTAGCAATGTCAAAGCTTAAGAGGAATAAAACAGAGGAAAACCAAAGGAAATAGGCCAAAATCATGAATCGCTGCAATACATTATGTAGAGATGCACAACGATGCCATATTCATACATCAGTCGAGAACGGCAACTCATCTAGGGTGTGGAAGTTTCTTAAAACAGTTGGAGTTGGAAGAACATCCCTAAATGCCTTACCTCCTTTTGTTGATGTTGAACTATTAAATCAACATTTTTCTAATCCTTCTAATTCTTTTGATAGAGAACAGAAATTGCAAACACTTCGTTCTCTTTCTGTAACTCCGACTCCTAATTATCCTCCGTTCGTTTTTAGTCAGTTTACTGTATGTGATGTTAAGAAGATCATATTATCCATCTCCTCAAATGCTGTCGGTAGCGACAACATTAGCCGTAATATGATTATTCCTCTCCTTGATGTTATCGCTCCTACTATTACTTATTTACTTAATGCATGTGTCTCTTCGTCTAAATTCCCTCAAGCCTGGAAGAGTGCACATGTTATACCCCTTCCGAAGAAATCCAATCCTGTCAACCTTTCTGATTTCCGTCCCATCTCGATCTTACCTTTTCTTTCTAAAGTCCTTGAAAAACTTATTTGCCAACAGCTGACCCTTTTCCTTAATAAGCACAATTTGTTGAATCCTTTACAATCAGGTTTCCGTCCTGGTCATAGTACGGCTACTGCTTTAATCAAAGTTACTGATGACATACGGTGGGGTATGGATAATAAACAACTCACAGTCATGACCTTGCTGGATTTCAGTAATGCGTTCAATACTGTTGATTTCGATATACTGTTGAGTCTATTGTGTTCCCTTAACATATCTCCATCAGTAATTGGCCGTCGGCAGTGTATTCGTGTTGATGAAACTCACTCATCTTGGTGTGATATTACTGCAGGCGTGCCGCAGGGCGGCGTGTTGTCACCTTTACTCTTTTCCATTTTCATTAATTCAATCACTCATAAAATATCTTCTCTCTACCACATGTATGCGGATGATGTTCAGATTTACACCCAGTCAACTCTTGAGAATTTGTCTAATGCAATCTCTACATTGAATAACGATTTAAATATAATTCACGAGTGGAGTAAGTCATACGGCCTAAATGTCAATCCCAAAAAATCACAGGCCATTATTATTGGTAGCCGGAGCTTTATCTCAAGAATTGACTGGTCCTCCGTACCACCTATCGAATTCGATGGAATTGTAATCCCTTACTTTGACAGTGTCAAAAATCTTGGTATTTATTTCGATAACTCCTTAAATTGGATACGCCAACTGAATGAGGTAAGTAAGAAAACCTTTGTCGCTCTTAGTTCACTGCGTCGCCTTCGTTCATTTCTTCCCATTCCTACAAAAATTATGCTCGCACAGTCTCTTCTCCTTCCGATTATCGACTATGCTGACGCAAGCTATGTAGACATAACCGAGGACCAGCTAAATAAGCTTGAGAGACTTCAAAACACTAGTATTCGGTTCATATTTGGATTGCGCAAATTTGACCATATTTCCCAATTACGCTCACGTCTCAAGTGGTTACCTATCCGACTTCGCCGGAATATGCATATTCTTTCTATTCTGTAATGTGTATTATTTCACCTTTCTACACCTCCTTATCTAAAGGAGAAGTTTAGTTTTGTAGGGCTTCCAGGAGAACCTCTACGCTCTTCGAGAAAATTCATTTTAAGGGTTCCAACTCACAATACTTCCTTTTTTAATAAATCTTTTACTGTCCAGTCTATCAAGCTCTGGAATGCCCTACCGTTGCGTATACGTGAAGCACAAACGATTGTTATATTTAAGCGACTACTTAAAGAGCAGTCTCAGTCGTTTGAACACCGTTAGAATAAATTAAGTGTTTATGTATCTATTGTATTTATCTGCTTTATATTATTGTTTGAGGAATTGTTTTATGTATATATATATATATATATATATATATATATATATATATATATATATATATATATATATATATATATATATATATATATATTTGGGTAAATGTGTAAGTTTGTTTATATATTTATATATATGTATGTATATTTATATTTACATATGTTTTACTTTATTTTTATTATATTTTAGCAATTTATGTAATTTCATGTATTAGTTATTTGTATGTTATTTTATTGCATGTATTGTCTATAAATCGCTATTATATTATGTATATTAATATTGCACCACCTACCTAGTTCTCACTGTTCTAATCCTTACACCTTTGGTTGCCTGGAAGAGATGAGACGCTATGTAGCGATAAGGCCGCCAAATTGTACTTACATAATATTATAATCTTTTTTGTGTTTTGTTAACTGTATATTTGTTTGTGGTGTACAATAAAAGTATATTCATTCATTCATTTATCGTGAAGTAAAGCTTTTCTTTTTCATAGTAAGTAAGCGTGATAAATGAGCACACACTCCACCTGATAGAAAGTAGATAATGTGGCATAGTAAATGAGGATCCATTGGGTTACCTAAGACTTAAATGCAATCTTTGATATTTCCATTTATTATACGAAACATTATTAGAAATATGATGCTAGTGTTTTTTAAAAGCTTGTTTTTTTCCCGGCCGAATGGACCCACTTTTGTAATGTAATGTTGTAATATTACAGCCTCTATACGTCCCACTGCTGGGCACAGGCCTCCCCTCATTTTTGAGAGGTTTTTAGGGCAAGGAAGTGTCCGCCACGCTGCCCCAATGCGTGTTGGCAAACTTCACATGTCTTCGAAATTTTTTTCCTTATTCCTCAGACGTGCAGGTTTGACCCAATTTTGGTGCAACTACAATAAAGTTGCAGCGTAACGCCACATTTTTAAACTTATACTTTACATATAGGTTTAAAATATAATACGTATAATAAATATATATACGTTTCATTAATTTAAATGTTAGTTATTTACGAAGGCCATAAGTTTGAAGTGTATCCTTGGTCATAAAACCCGCACGGACGAAGATGAGGTGATGATGTTGTAACGCTGTTAGCACATACCTCTCTCTCTGTCCCTGTCTATTTTTTGTAATTAATAAAATTAATTACAATTGCAGATAAATTCGAGTCAAGATCAAAAAAGGATTACATACGGTTAAAAGATAATGGAGGACGTCAATGTGGTGCAGGCGCGTACTTTATTGGGACAAACACCCATTCCACCAAAAAGAAAGGATAACGCATTGACAAGGACACTTCGATCATGTAAGTACATAAAACAATAAAATCGTATATTTTTTGTATACTAGGTATTTACCTGTGAAATTGCCGTTTTCGTATGAAATATTTTAACGTGTTTATTTTTTATTTATATTAATCAAAGTAATCACCAAATAATCGATGCATCTTTACCAACGCGGTGGCAGTTTATTGATGCCCTTCTTGAACAAACCAGCTTTGAGGCAACAAATTCTTTAAAGACATTTTGTACTGCTTCTCGAGTATTGATTTTATTCCGTCAAAAATTTATCCAAATTCTGGAAAAACAAGATCAATATTATTTTGATACTACCGTTAAAAACAGTTTCTAACTCAGTCGTAGGTTGTGTATCATCCGTTACACAATCGCCTTTAATTTGTCTTTGTCATCCAAAGTTTTCTTACGACCACAAGGTTCATTTTTAAGGTAGGAAGCGGTCAAAGTAATAACAGGTCTGTTCGTTTGTAGTAATTTTTATAGCATAAAGATGACAAACGAGCACACAGTCCCGATGGTAAGTGATGGTAAGTGGTTGCTGTGGCCCATAGACATCTACATCTATCCTCGATTTCGAATCAAAATGCAGATGCGTTATCACCCTTGATGACTAAGATGGTATGCATCGTATCCCGTAAAATGTGTCTCCGGTTCGCTTCACTCACAATACGAAACAAAGCAGCGACGAGCTGCTATTTTATGCTGGTGTTCTGTGGGATTGTGATCCTTATCTATGCCGTGGTCCTATATCTGCAGCTCATGGCTCTACCGCGTAAACATAGAATTATTCACTCCGTTAACGTCGTTGATGTTGCGTGCTGTTTTTGCTGCTTTACTGCCACGACGTTACTTATATTTACTCGAATTTTAGCGTATATATAACGTATTCCATAATTACTCGAACTTTAACCTATCCATGATGTCAAAATGATTTTGAAACGGTCAGTACTGCAGAACGGCAATTTCATAGGTAAAGACCTATTATTATTATTATACATACTCAATCTGTATGTACTTTGCTTTTATTTAGTTCGAAAACTTCTACAAAATTTAATAAATAATCATTATTATTATATGCAGTACTAATTTGGTACACACTGCCAATAAAACTGCCGCAAGCAAATTCTAATCATTTTCTTTTTCGTCTTTATGATGTTTTTCATGTATTCCATCAATTGTAATGTTTTGTTGTTATTTACGTTTACAACCAATTGTTTATGTCGGTAACACAAGTAGAGTAATCTAATCAATCTTATAAAAAATAACATAAACAACTTTGTTGACGCCCCCGTAGTTGTCTCGTTTACTGTTTCTTGGAGACCAATTTTTTATTTTTAACGCCATTTGTTCTGTTTTCCTTCCATCATATGGCCTATCCACCTCCTCTTTTGCCTAGTTAGTCAAGATCTCTACACAAATTGATAGTCTGTTCTTTTGACGATTCGAATATCAGCCTAAATCAAAATAGTTTTTGTGAAAGATATTATTGTTATAAGAGTCACAAATTTTATGCATCTAACATAAAATATTTTAATTGATAGAATCAGGCGTTACTTTGCGGAAAATCATTATAATAAAAAATAAAAATATAAATTTCTTTGCAACAAATTATTTTGGTGTTTCTAACAGTTCATCCAATTCATATTCAATCTTATTGCATGGCGAATTAGCGTAAAGAGCGGAGGTTTTGTCTTATTTTCTTGCCCACTTGATTAAAATGACAGGAAAAATATGTCAAATTGAATACAAACGTCCTCACTTCATTTACCCTCGATGAAAAAGAGGGTGTTAAATATATTTAACATGTATCTGTATATTTGAGTATATGTTTGTCTATCTGTGGTATCGTAGCTCCCAAAGGGATGAACCTATTTAAATTTATTTTTTATTTGTTTGTAAGATGACTTGATCGAGTGTTTTTTTTTTAGCTACGATTCAAAAAATATTTTCAAGCGTTTGAAGATCTTCTTTGTTTGAAGATCTCTTCCGTGTTTAAGGGGTTTTTAAAATTTTAAATTTAAGTTATTTATTTAATATAAAATGGTATAATTAAATATAAATGGATGTGGAAGAGGCGAGAGAGGTATGTCAGGTTCGTGCTAAATGGAAGTCTGTAGTCTCTGCCTACCCCTCTGGGTGACAGGCGTGAGTGTGTATGTATGTTATTTATGTAATACAAACTCATAAAATTTCTTTTAATTTTTCACTAGGCTATAAAAGTTTTTAATGAGATCCTGCAATCCTGCAAGTAAACCGTGCGTGCATGATTACAGTAACAGACATCTCGCACATTTAAAGATGCTCATGGTTGCTAGTCTGGGCATTTTACATTTGGAATAAACGAAACCCCTTCTTCGATCGATATTTATAACATTAAAAGACTGATTATCTGACATAATCACTACATAGCAAATCATAAGTCATATTGTACTAAATAATAAAATAGAGGCTAAAACTATTTTATTTTACTCCACTCAACAAAATATTTAATAAATAGATTAAAATTTAGTCAAACTTATTACTAGTACAGAATTTTCAAAACTAACTCCATTACTTTAACATAGAATCTGTGACAAGATAGTATTGTAAAATATCGGAATAAATGATATAATTATTATCTACTCATTACCATACTGAATATTACATCAATAAAACATTCAAGTTCTTGTTATTTGCATATTGCGTTATAAAAGGTGTCTACTTCATTACTATTCAATATCTGTTACGCCAACGTAAAGGAATAAGTGAGTAAATTTAAATTTTGTGTTTAATAGTAGTGCTTAGTACTGAGCGTTTCTTTGTCTTTAAATTAACCAAATTATTAAATTTTGAATGATTGCTAGATTCAATAATAGTTGCGAATAAAAGTTGAGATTCTGTCATGAATGATTTCGATTTCTTTATTACAGATTAAATAATTTATTAACAGCTAGATTGTCAAGAGAAATGATGAAATAGAGAGTAGGCGAGTGCCAGATATTCCATCAATAATTTACAAAATAGTGTGTTATATTTTTCAGGTTGTATAATACCTCAACGATATATTTTGGGAGTAATGGGACTTCTTGGTGTGTGCAATGCGTACACAATGCGCGTGTGTTTAAATTTGGCAATAACTCAAATGGTCAATCACACTAAAACTGGTGAACCATATTTCGACCCTGACGCTTGCCCCGAACAATTAAAAGTTGGCAATGAAACTGAAGCCGAAAGACCAGTAAGAAAACTGTTTTCCATAACATAAATTTCACTTAGAATTTTTTACACTGTATTTTAAATATAAAGCAAATAATCAAGTAAGACACCTTTAATGCTTAAGAGTCTATCTAGATAAGTGAAGCTCCTAAGTACGTAAGTTACGTAAGTACACACTAGTCTATTCAAGCCTACAATTAGTAATGATTGCACTGCTGTGTTTCGGTCCAAAAATTAGAGAGCCGGTATGCAAGTTGCTTTTTTTTTGCGCCCGAAGCAATTAAAGGGCTACCCTATACGTAGGGAGGCGGAAAATGCATTACGCATACCACGATACTCACTGTCCTACCGGGGACCCTAAGTGATACCCTCTAAAAACCGCCTTTGGGGACAGGCAGCCGGCTGATCAAGCTGTATTGTGCCTTATCATGAGCGACCCTCTTTTGGGAAAAGAGGGCGCAGAATGGAAAAGAGGGCGCAGAATGGAAAAGAGGGCGCAGGGCGCTTTTTTGTTTGTACTTAGTTGCAGACTTGCAGATGTTTATGAATTGCAATAGTACCATCAGGTGGCCTATAAGTTCCTTTGTGACCTCAGTTTTGTTTTGTTTTGATTGTTAAATTATTAAATTTACAGTAATAATTGCTATTGAGATTAAAAACATCACTTGTCTACTTTGTTCGTCGAAAGAAATAGGTAGTACATGTAATATTCTTTTTTGAGTTACTGTCAAACTATAACTATGTAAGCAGCATCTACATAGATGGAATCCCAGCTGCAGCCAATTCTGTTAATGACTACGACTACTGTGATGGTTTTGCATCTCTGATAATATATCTGAGTACATTGTATAAGAGTAACATCGGATACGAGGATGTTAACTCATTCCTTGCCCTATGTATCATGTATCATAATCGAGTCATTTTCATATAGTTGTGTTTAAAAATTATACAGTGAATATTAAGTGAATGTGAAACATTTTGTCTTTGAATCAAAATATGTTTATCTACCAAGAACTTTTAGTTAAACCTTTGTAAATTTCCCTCAATATATAAAATTATATCTACTTAGTGAAAATATATATTAATTATTAGCATTTCTCTTTTCTTTCTACAGTATTTCACATACTATTTCATGTGACTTTAAGTATACATATATCCGTAAAATTTCCAGTTACCTATACACATACCCATGTAACATTAAGTATAAAAATGGATGTGGGGTTCTCCTTTAAGGGGACGTATCGCCATCAGTACGGTTAGCAGACTGGTGCTGGAAATTCCACCCAATTTCTCCTGCTGCCCGTAACGTGGACTTATACAGTTATGAATAAATTATTTTTCATTATATTTATATAATATATCATTTTGCTCTAGTAAGATAAAAGTTATGGTTTTCGAAAGAGAAAAAACTAAAACGATATGTGAGATATTTAAGAATAGAAGGGGAGTAGGTAAAGAAAGTAGATCAGTGTGTGTATTTGGGATGTGTATTTAGCAGGGATGGTAGATATGATAAGTATATAGAACGAAGAGTGAACGCAGGAAATAGAGTAAATGGGGCCCTATACTCTATAGTGAAAAGTCATAATCATAAAAAGCATGTATGGCAATTCACAATGCTGTGTTAAACCCTATTTTAATGTATGGTAGTGAAAGTTGAGTATAGCAGAAGAAGCATGAGAGTAGAATAAATGCTGTATACATGCGGTCATTAAGAAGTGTGTTAGAGCTGAATCTAAATGACAGGGTGAGAAATTGTGTGATAAGAGAAGAGTGTGTATTGCAAGATGACGTTGTGACCGGATTAAGAAAGGAATACTTGGATGGTTTGGTCATGTTGAAAACATGAATAAAGAAAGAATGACAAAGCAAAATTATGTTGCAGAAGTGAATGGCATAGTCGGGAAGGGACGCGCTAGGCGAAAGTTTATCGACCAAATTGGCGATATATTGAAAATGGGCCAAATTAAGAGTCCTACCCTTAAACGACTAGCATGTATGCGCAGGTATATGGATGCGGAGGAGCCGAGAGAAGTGTGTCAGGATCGTGTCATAAGGAAGTCTGTAATTTCTGCCTACCCCTCTAGATGACAGGCGTGAGTATTTATGTATTATTATGTAAATGTACCGTAATTACGCTATATAATGTAATTATAACATATAATGAACGTCCTTGGTAAGAAACTATTAATACCTTAGTGCTATAGATATGTTAGGTATATTCTTTGCTACAAGTAAATTTGCATCAATGTATATATATATATATATATATATATATATATATATATATATATATATATATATATATATATATATATATAAATCTATGGTGTATTTTGAATGTTCGCATTGGGATTACGAAACGGCGTAGGGAGCGGGTGACGTTGTCACTTATCGTTTACACTATTGTAACTAGAAATAGCGACGTGTATTGTTTGAGTGAATTCTTTAAATTATGGTTGCGCGGAAAACCATTCGCGTTTTTTATTTTTGACGGTAGGAATTTGTCGAATCATTATTCCCTTCCGAAACAATATCATTCGTACCCTCCTATCGACACATCGGGGTGGTGGGGTGGGAGGGGAAAGAAGACGATTCTAGAACATCGCGTAATCATCGGACCCGAGGATATATAAGACACGCGCGACCGACGCGCGCTCTCTTCTCCCGCCGCAGTCGTCGTTGAACTACAACCTCCTCTTCCCGCGCGCTCGTTTGGAAACACCTCACTAGTGGAAACCGCTTTGGCCTGGAAGCAGTCGAGCTCCAGGAACCCGCCTCACCTCGTGTGAGATATCGTCGCGCACCGCCTCTCTCCGGAGTGTTCCGGAAGTCGCCGCTATAGTGATCGACAGGAAGAAGAAACCCCGGTGAGTCAATACTCCTTAATTATACCTGCTTGCTAATAATTTAACCCGCTCCAATTTGTGTTTTTTTCCTAGTCAAGCAGGATTCCTTTCATCGATTCGACAAGTAATAGTTTAGTTTAGGGAAGAGCGAGTGCATTGTACCGCATGCTATAGTAGTCGCTTCACATAAGCATAGAAGCAATCGCATATACAGTCCACTTTAGTTAATATCTCGCGTAATAGGTTTGAGGTTTGACCGGGGAACTAGATTTTCGGCAGCCTTAAACACGTGGCTCCACCATTTTATGGTCACTTCGGCAGGATCTGGATTGGTGTTTAGTGGTTATCCAACCATTTTCTGGTCGAATTATTAAATTAATTGTTTAGATAACGCACTCTAATTTATAGAATAGACTTAAATAGTGTTCGTTTAAATTAAAATTTTGATTTGTTACTCGCAAACAGAATTATTCATTTAATAGCGCTCGTATTTGGTTAAATTTAAAGCTTATTAAATAATTGAAACGGCGTGATAGCAACCGTTTGATACGCTTACCCCACAATTTTATAAAATTATTAGGTTTAGCGAACGACGCGTAGCCTTGACTGCATCGGGCGCTCGATCTGATTACGTAATACAGCACGCCGAGTATTCATCCTACGTCGTTTATGCGTGTGAGATTAATTGTGATTAATATAACTTTATTATAATAATTTAAAATGGCAGTTAGTGGAAGTGAAATCAAAATTAAAACGCTTCATGCCAAGAGGGACATACTCTTTTCGCGTGTGCAAAATATAAGTGATTATATAAAGAACATTCATATAGAGGCAGTGCGGGAGGCCTTTTTAAATGAAATCGAAACGATTGATAATTTGCGGACAGATTACGAAAGAATATTAGACCAAATTAATCATTCGGAACTACAAACCGACCCGAAATACATAGTGAACTACCAACCGCTGCTGGCATTCGAAGATATGTTGTGTCGCGTGAAGAGAACCGCAAAATTGCTACAATCTCAAGGTGAAGCGAAGCCTGAAATGCAGGTACGCCCTCGTGACTCAATTAGGTTACCGCCAATAGATATTCCGGTATTCAATGGTGATATTAAGACGTGGCCCTTCTTCTTCAGTAGTTTTCAAAACAATATACACAACAACCCATCGTTATCGGACGCTGAAAAATTATATTACTTAATTAGCAAACTTAGTGGCAGAGCACAGTCGATCTGCTCGGGTTTTACACCTACAGCAAACAATTACGTATTAATATTTGAAACGCTTAAAACTAAATATGAAGATAGGAGAATGTTAGCTTCCGAATATTTGAACCAGATATTCGATCTTAAACCTATATCATCCGCGAACATCAACGGCTTAGAGCAGTTTCTCGATAAATTTGTGGCATCGGTGGCTGCACTTAAGAATTTGAAGTTTGATGACCTTATGGACGTGGTGTTTCTCCATATAGCATTAAAGAAATTAGACTCCGACACCGTGCGTGCGTTTGAAATGGAGCATCGTAGCTCGGAGATGCCTTCCTTTCATTCATTAGCATTGTTCGTGCGAGATCAAATAAAGGTGATGCAGCGCTCACCGAACGTTAAACAGGAGATTAAAAGGTGCGTCGACCGTAGACAGACTCAATCATCTAAAATAGCAGGGTCGTTAACTTACGTAACCGCTACGCCGACATCGCTCCAGCATACTTGTATAGTATGTAAAGATAAACACGGTAACTTATATAACTGTGCGACTTTTCGTAAATATTCACCAAGCGAACGTTATAAGTTAGTAAAGACAAACAACCTATGTTTGAACTGCTTAAGCGATAAGCATTTAGTTGCAAAATGCAATTCGAGTTCCGTATGTAGCAAGTGCGCCAGGAAACATCACACGCTATTACATTTTGAAAATAGCAACATAGCGGCGTCAAGTAAGGCGAATAAGGAATTCACCCCTACTAAGGTCAACGATTCTAGCGGTCGACCTGATGATGTCGCTCTGTGCTCATTGGCAAATATGGGAGCACAACCTCCTTCAACCGTGTTACTGGGTACGGCGCGTATTTTGGTTAGGGATTCGCGTGGAAACAAACAAAGCGTCCGTGCACTGCTGGACAGCGGAGCCCAAAATAGCTTTATAACACGACAATGTTGTCAGCGCTTAG